TTAGTTAGTTAGTTAGTTAGTTAGTTAGTTAGTTAGTTAGTTAGTTAGTTAGTTAGTTAGTTAGTTAGTTAGTTAGTTAGTTAGTTAGTTAGTTAGTTAGTTAGTTAGTTAGTTAGTTAGTTAGTTAGTTAGTTAGTTAGTTAGTTAGTTAGTTAGTTAGTTAGTTAGTTAGTTAGTTAGTTAGTTAGTTAGTTAGTTAGTTAGTTAGTTAGTTAGTAGTTAGTTAGTTAGTTAGTTAGTTAGTTAGTTAGTTAGTTAGTTAGTTAGTTAGTTAGTTAGTTAGTTAGTTAGTTAGTTAGTTAGTTAGTTAGTTAGTTAGTTAGTTAGTTAGTTAGTTAGTTAGTAGTTAGTTAGTTAGTTAGTTAGTTAGTTAGTTAGTTACTTTTAAAGCTTTATTTGTTATTTACCTTTCTCTTATTTCTACTCGTTTTTGAAAATTTTTAATTTTGTTTAACTGTACGTATGATTAATATTAATTTCGAGTAATTTTACAAAATCCTTCATAACTTTGGAACTAATGGAGGGATTTTAAAAATTCAAAAGCAGTTCAATTTCTTAGGTTATAAAGCTTTAGATATTGATTAAGAATTTATGGATTTGTTATATTTTTATTAAAAAAATTTGAAAATTTTAAGGAAATTCGTTTTTCTACGTTTTTATTTATAAAAGAAAAATATTGTCAAATATTTTTTCTACAATAAGTGTCAATCTAGTTGCTATTATTTTTTTTTATTAAATATATATCGAAATATTAGTTAGGGAACTCTCTTTAGTAGGAAAAAATTGCCCACAAAAGCAATGACAACTGTCTGCAAAAAAACTATTTTAAATTTCTGTTTCCTTTCCATGATGCTGGTCTTCTTTTATAAATATTGATTTCCCTGTTTATCTAACCAAAACCTAAATATTTTTTTAACATTTTTTTTTTTCCAACAACAATACATTTGTTTATAACTATTGTTATACCAAATATGTATATTGGTGACAAGTGTTATTGATGTTGATTATTAATAATACAATAAATTGTGGTTTATTTTATAAATTTGTTTTGAAAAGTTTGAAAATTTTTGTTTATTTTTCCAATAGTTTTATATTTTTCAAAAGTAAGATAGACGTTTGAGGTATTTGTATAATATGAAAAGATAATTTCTTTAATTACTAGCAATTTAAATGTATAATGACGTTAGGTTTGAAAAAATTTTCAATTATTTTCCCACAATTATTAGAAAAGATTATTAGATTATTAGAAAAAGAGAATTTAAAAAGAATTTTTTGAGAACATTAAAAATTAAATGACAAAAAGCGAAAATTTTATATAAAAGTTTTCAAAAGTTTTTGTGCATTTAATTTTTAGCAAAGTTTGGCCCACTGTAGCTTATTGATAATTAAAACAAACTGATTTTTTATATTATATATTAGAAGCTTTAATTGTGCCTTAACTTTGTGCCAAAATTTGTTGATTTATCTAGAGCGGTTTAGGAGATTTTTTCAAATTTCTAATTTTGTTTAACAGTACGTATGATTAATATTAATTTGGAGTAATATTACAAATTTGTTTATAACTTTAGAATTAATAAAGGGATTTTGAAAATTCAAAAGGGGTTTAAAAGCTAACAGTATAAACTTTAGTTTTAAATACAATTGCAGTTACAAATAAGCAGGATACATAGATAACAGTTACAATTTAGACAAAATTTTTAAATATTTTTTTTTTTAAATGTTAAAATTTTAAATTTTTATTAAGAATTTAAATATTTTTAAATGAAAAAATTAGGAAAATAATGAAAACTAAAAGGAAAATAAGAATTTAGTAAAATTTTCTATTATATTTTAAAATGTTTTCTTGAAAATTATAATAATTTTTTTAAAATTAAACAAAAATCTTTAAAAAATTAATAAAACTCTTAAAAACAAATGTATGTTTATTTAAACAATAAACTTAATTAAACAAATTGTTGTTGTTAAATTAAAATTTATATAATTTTTTATACTTTTTTTAGATTATTTGTCATAATTTTTCATTTGATCTTATGACATTTTCATGTGAATAAATTGTTTTTTTAATAATAAACTTGAAAACAATTGAAATAAATAAATATTATTTCTAAATGACACAATAATATAACATATATTTTAGCTGCTTTTTTTCTGCTCCAATTTATTTAATAAATTAAGAAAAAAGAAGACAGAAAAACACACATTGAAAAAAAAAGGTTAATAACCCCCTGTAACTAAATAGAAAAATGTGTAGATAAAAACTAAAAACATAAACGGCAAAACAACAAATAGAAAAAAATGAGAAAAATATTACTTAAATTAAACTACAAATACCATACAAGGTATAAATATGTATATTGTAGCAAAGTAATTGGTTGTTTGGGACATATATTTATAGCTTTACTTTTTATTTGGACTAATGCCATAGAAAAACAATGAAAATGGTATACAAGAAATACCAAAAAAACTAATTCTCTATATAATACAGATATAAAAAAAATCTTAAATAATTTTTAATAAGAAAATTAAAAATTTTCCTTTTTGTAAAAAAAAATATTTTAAATTTTTTTATAAATCAGTTAAATTTTTTATATTGGAATTATCTTTTAGAAACTAATCTAGCCTTAAACTAAGGCCTAAACTCTTAGCTTTTAAACCCCATTTGAATTTTTAAAATCCCTTCATTAATTCCCAAGTTATGTAACAACATGTAAAATTACTGTGAATTAATATTAATCATACGTACTGGTAAACAAAATTAGAAATTATTAAAAATCTCCTTAACCGCTTAAGCTAAAGCAGCAAATGTTGGCACAAAGTTAAAACACTATTAAAGCTTTTGAAATGTTTTTAAAAAAACTCTTTGTTGTTGTTTTTAATAAGCCACAGTGGGCCAAAAGTTGTTAAAAAACTAAATTTTCTTAATAAAAATTTAAATTTTCAACATGAATTTTAACAATTTAAGTCAGGATTTTTAACACATTTCTTAAGAAACTTTTCAATTCCCAAAAAATTTTTGAAAAATCCCAGAAAGTTTATTACTTCGGAAAATCATACATTTTTATACTTTTCCCCCTCCACCCAAATATTTACCTCAAAAAAATCCTGTTACTTTTACCACCTTAATCCTTATTTTTGAAAAACACTTAAGTTTTCTTTTTGTTTGCCTTGTTTAACAGTTCGGAAGCCTTACATTAACATAATTTATAGGTAATCCATAATCCTTAAGTGTTGTACAGGCATATGTAGATGTTAAATTCTACTCACAACAACTTCACTTCCATATTTATTTATGTTTTTCGTAATAAAAGCAAACAAACCTTAAGTACTTTACACATGTATACACTTTTAATGTATCATCAAATAACCATAAAATTGCACTCAATACCTAAAGAAAAAAATGTATAAGAATTCGACATTAAAACTGGCTTTTTAAGAAAAATATTTTAAATGCAAAAAAAAAAAAACTGAAAATTATTTGCCTTATTGATCCCCTTATTTGTTTTATACTCACAACTTAATGTCTGTTGCTAAAATAAAAAAAGGTTTTTAAAATTTTTTTAATTTTCGTGCAAAATTGTTTCCCTGAAACTTTCTTTTTATAAAATAATGTAGCCTTAAACAGACCGAAATCTTAGCTCTTGAACTCCGTTAGAATTTTCAAAATCCTTTCATTAATTCCAAAGTTTAAGCAAATTTGTGAAATTATTACAAATTAATATTAATTATACGTACTGTTGAACTGTAAGTTAGTCAGTTAGTTAGTTAGTTAGTTAGTTAGTTAGATAGATAGATAGATAGATAGATAGATAGATAGATAGATAGATAGATAGATAGATAGATAGATAGATAGATAGATAGATAGATAGATAGATAGATAGATAGATAGATAGATAGATAGATAGATAGATAGATAGATAGATAGATAGATAGATAGATAGATAGATAGATAGATTAGATAGATAGATAGATAGATAGATAGATAGATAGATAGATAGATAGATAGATAGATAGATAGATAGATAGATAGATAGATAGATAGATAGATAGATAGATAGATAGATAGATAGATAGATAGATAGATAGATAGATAGATAGATAGATAGATAGATAGAGAGATAGATAGATAGATAGATAGATAGATAGATAGATAGATAGATAGATAGATAGATAGATAGATAGATAGATAGATAGATAGATAGATAGATAGATAGATAGATAGATAGATAGATAGAAGATAGATAGATAGATAGATAGATAGATAGCTAGATAGATAGATAGATAGATAGATAGCTAGATAGATAGATAGATAGATAGATAGATAGATAGATAGATAGATAGATAGATAGATAGATAGATAGATAGATAGATAGATAGATAGATAGATAGATAGATAGATAGATAGATAGAAGATAGATAGATAGATAGATTAGATAGAATAGATAGATAGATAGATAGATAGATAGATAGATAGATAGATAGATAGATAGATAGATAGATAGATAGATAGATAGATAGATAGATAGATAGATAGATAGATAGATAGAAGATAGATAGATAGATTAGATAGATAGATAGATAGATAGATAGATAGATAGAATAGATAGATAGATAGATAGATAGATAGATAGATAGATAGATAGATAGATAGATAGATAGATAGATAGATAGATAGATAGATAGATAGATAGATAGATAGATAGATAGATAGATAGATAGATAGATAGATAGATAGATAGATAGATAGATAGATAGATAGATAGATAGATAGATAGATAGATGCATCAAACCATAATGACAAATTTGTTAGAGAGAAAAGAGACAGCAAAGTAATAAATCAACCGCTGTGTCAATGTTTATAACGCGTAACATAAAGCTGCCAGATTACATTTTTACCTTACTTCTGGTAACTTTGTATGAAATGTTAATTTTTGAACAATTTTCTTATCAAAAATTAAAACATAAAGAATTCTTGTGTAATAAAAACAAGAAAAGTAAACAAGATGATAATATTAAAGCGATTTAAATCCCAAATAACAAAATACAACCTCAAAAGCCACAAATTTGTGCCCTTTAACTGTTTACAACGCTCCAAAACATCAGTAAATGTTTGCCCTCTCGACAAAGTCGTTATTTTAGATGCTGGTTCACAATATGTTAAACTTATAAAACGTAAGGTGGAGGAATTATGTATAGCAAGTGATATTTTACCTTTAGAAACCTCCGCCTGCTCTATAATGGCGGGAAATTATAAAGCTATTATTATATCGGGAGGCCCTTACTCAGTTTATGCCAAAAATGCTCCTCGATATGATTCTAAAATATTTCAACTTAAAATACCGCTATTGGGCATTTGCTATGGCATGCAAATGTTAAATCAAGAATTTGGAGGTTCCATAAAAAAGAAAAGTGTGCGAGAAGATGGTCAATATCACGTTGTTTTGGATATGAAGTGTAAATTATTTAAAAATATGTTTGAAAAACAAATGGTACTTTTGACCCATGGCGATAGTGTGGAAAAAGTTGGTGATAATTTGAAGATTTCTGCAAGATCTGAGAAAAATATTATAGCAGGCATTTATAATGATGACTTGCAATTATATGGTATACAATTTCATCCAGAGGCTAAGATGTCAAAATGTGGTGGAGAAATTTTCAAAATTTCTTGTGCGAAATTTGTGGCTTAAAGCCGGACTTGATTAAAACTGATGTGAAGAATCAGATTATGGAATATATAAAGGAGAGGGTAAAAGATAAAAGGTCTTGTTATTGTTTAGTGGCGGTCTGGATTCGTGTGTCTGTGCGGTTTTATTAAGAGAAGTCTTACCGACTGAACGAATTTTAGCGGTTTATTTAGGTAATGGTTTCATGCGCCTCCAGGAAACCGAAAAAGTTGAAGACTTTTTGAAAACTTTAGAAATAGATTTGATAAAGCGTCAAGAATTCCTAAAATTCCTGCAAAGTTCTACAGGAATCAAAAATTTGGAAAGATCATTGAGCTTTAAAACTCCTTTACTTTGTGGGGCCCTGAACCCTGAAGATAAACGGCTTATAATAGGCAATACTTTTGTAAAAATAACAAAAAAACTTATTGAAGATTCAAAACTCAAAACCGAGAAAGTATTATGGGTCCAGGGAAGCTTAGAAACCGATTTAACAGAATCAGGCTGCAAAGACTTAAGCAATTTATTAGACACTATTAAAACCCATCAAATGATACGGAACTAGTTCGGGTATTGCGCAATAAAGGTCGTTTAATAGAACCTTTAAGTCATCTCAACAAAGATGAAGTAAGAAAATTGGCTAAAGATTTAAAAGTACCAAATGATATAAGAGAAAAACCGCCCTTTCCCGGTTGTGGTCTAGCCATACGTATAATATGTGCTCAAGAACCTTTTAAGGGAAAAGATTTTTGTGAAACCCAAGAAATGGTCTCCTATATAGTCGATTATAGACAACATTTACCAAAGAATGACAAAATAATAAATTATCTTAAAAATAATTTAACAAAAACTGAACAAAATGAACTTTTAAGAATAACCTCCCAGAATCAACTACAGGCCTCTTTATTACCTATACGTTCGGTGGGTGTACAGGGTGATGGTCGCAGCTATAAGTATGTATTGGGTATCTCTTGCTATCAAGAACCCAATTGGTGTGATTTATTTTATTTAGCCCGATTAATACCCACAATTTTACATAACATTAATCGGGTGTGCTATATCTTTGGAGAAGCCAATTCCCATTTAAACTTAGATATCACTCCAACTACACTCAATAAAGAAAATATTCAGCTACTAAGAGAGGCCGATAAATTAGCGAATGATTTGTTAAAATGTGAAAAACTTTACCACAAAATAACACAAATGCCTGTTATACTAATTCCCCTGGATTTTGATAGTGACCCTAACAGCGACAATAAACCCTCCCACAAACGTTCGATTGTTTTAAGACTTTTATTACCACAGATTTTATGTGTGGCTGGGCGGTTAACCAGGTTCAGAGCAATTGCCTTTGAGGGTAATAAATCGTATGCAAAACAAATTTCTGAATTATCCGGTATTTCTAGAGTACAATATGATTTAACTAACAAACCGCCAGCAACCATTGAATGGGAGTGAATAAAAAACAAAAGTTGTTATCTCTATTATTCAAAGATATGTTATATAAGTTTTTGTTAATAAATTATTGAAAATTAATTAATCAACGTTCAGTTCTAGTAAGTTTAATAGTCTAGTCTATAGTCTAGTCTATTCTATAGTCTAGTCTATAGTCTAGTCTATAGTCTAGTCTATAGTCTAGTCTATAGTCTAGTCTATAGTCTAGTCTAGAGTCTAGTTATAGTCTAGTCTATAGTCTAGTCTAGTCTAGTCTATAGTCTATTCTAGTCTATAGTCTAGCTATAGTCAGTCTATAGTCTAGTCTATAGTCTAGTCTATAGTCTAGTCTATAGTCAGTCTATAGTCTGTCTATAGTCTAGTCTATAGTCTAGTCTATAGTCTAGTCTATAGTCTAGTCTATAGTTTAGTCTATAGTCTAGTCTATAGTTAGTCTATAGTCTAGTCTATAGTTTAGTCTATCGTCTAGTCTATAGTCTAGTCTATAGTTTAGTCTATAGTCTAGTCTATAGTCTAGTCTACAGTCTAGTCTAGTCTATATTCTAGTTATAGTCTAGTTTATAGTCTAGTCTATAGTCTAGTCTATAGTCTAGTCTGTAGTCTAGTCTATAGTCTAGTCAATAGTCTAGTCCTATAGTCTAGTTATAGTCTAGTCTATAGTCTAGTCTATAGCACTAGTCTATAGTCTAGTCTATAGTCTAGTCTATAGTTTAGTCTATAGTCTAGTCTATAGTCTAGTCTATAGTCTAGTCTATAGTCTAGTCTATAGTCTAGTCTATAGTCTAGTCTATAGTCTAGTCTATAGTCTAGTCTATAGTCTAGTCTATAGTCTAGTCTATAGTCTAGTGTAGTCTAGTCTAGTCTATAGTCTAGTCTATAGTCTGGTCTATAGTCTAGTCTATAGTCTAGTCTATAGTCTAGTCTACAGTCTAGTCTATAGTCTAGTCTATAGTCTAGTCTATAGTCTAGTCTATAGTCTACTCTATAGTCTAGTCTATAGTCTAGTCTATAGTCTAGTCTATAGTCTAGTCTATAGTCTAGTCTATAGTCTAGTCTATAGTCTAGTCATAGTCTAGTCTATAGTCTAGTCTATAGTCTAGTCTATAGTCTAGTCTATAGTCTAGTCTATAGTCTAGTCTATAGTCTAGTCTATAGTCTACTCTATAGTCTACTCTATAGTCTAGTCTATAGTCTAGTCTATAGTCTAGTCTATAGTCTAGTCTATAGTCTAGTCTATAGTCTACTCTATAGTCTACTCTATAGTCTAGTCTATAGTCTAGTCTATAGTCTAGTCTATAGTCTAGTCTATAGTCTAGTCTATAGTCTAGTCTATAGTCTAGTCTAGTCTAGTTTATAGTCTAGTCTATAGTCTAGTCTATAGTCTAGTCTATAGTCTAGTCTATAGTCTAGTCTATAGTCTAGTCTATAGTCTAGTCTAGTCTAGTCTATAGTCTAGTCTATAGTCTAGTCTATAGTCTAGTCTATAGTCTAGTCTAGTCTAGTCTATAGTCTAGTCTATAGTCTAGTCTATAGTCTAGTCTATAGTCTAGTCTATAGTCTAGTCTATAGTCTAGTCTATAGTCTAGTCTATAGTCTAGTCTATAGTCTAGTCTATAGTCTAGTCTATAGTCTAGTCTATAGTCTAGTCTATAGTCTAGTCTATAGTCTAGTCTATAGTCTAGTCTATAGTCTAGTCTATAGTCTAGTCTATAGTCTAGTCTATAGTCTAGTCTATAGTCTAGTCTATAGTCTAGTCTATAGTCTAGTCTATAGTCTAGTCTATAGTCTAGTCTATAGTCTAGTCTATAGTCTAGTCTATATAGTCTATAGTATAGTCTATAGTCTATATAGTCTAGTCTATAGTCTAGTCTATAGTCTAGTCTATAGCTAGTCTATAGTCTAGCTATAGTCTAGTCTATAGTCTAGTCTATAGTCTAGTCTATAGTCTAGTCTATAGTCTATAGTCGTATAGTCTATGTCTATAGTCTAGTCTATAGTCTAGTCATAGTCTAGTCTATAGTCTAGTCATAGTCTAGTCTATAGTAGTCTATAGTCTAGTCTATAGTCTAGTCTATAGTCTAGTCTATAGTCTAGTCTATAGTAGTCTATAGTCTAGTCTATAGTCTAGTCTATAGTCTAGTCTATAGTCTAGTCTATAGTCTAGTCTATAGTCTAGTCTATAGTCTAGTCTATAGTCTAGTCTATAGTCTAGTCTATAGTCTAGTCTATAGTCTAGTCTATAGTCTAGTCTATAGTCTAGTCTATAGTCTAGTCTATAGTCTAGTCTATAGTCTAGTCTATAGTCTAGTCTATAGTCTAGTCTATAGTCTAGTCTATAGTCTAGTCTATAGTCTAGTCTATAGTCATTCTATAGTCTAGTCTAGTCTATAGTCTAGTCTAGTCTAGTCTAGTCTATAGTCTAGTCTAGTCTAGTATAGTCTAGTCTATAGTCTAGTCTATAGTCTAGTCTATAGTCTAGTCTATAGTCTAGTCTATAGTCTAGTCTATAGTCTAGTCTATAGTCTAGTCTATATTCTAGTCTATAGTCTAGTCTATAGTCTAGTCTATAGTCTAGTCTATAGTCTAGTCTATAGTCTAGTCTATAGTCTAGTCTATAGTCTAGTCTATAGTCTAGTCTATAGTCTAGTCTATAGTCTAGTCTATAGTCTAGTCTATAGTCTAGTCTATAGTCTAGTCTATAGTCTAGTCTATAGTCTAGTCTATAGTCTAGTCTATAGTATAGTCTATAGTCTAGTCTATAGTCTAGTCTATAGTCTAGTCTATAGTCTAGTCTATAGTCTAGTCTATATGTCTAGTCTATAGTCTAGTCTATAGTCTAGTCTATAGTCTAGTCTATAGTCTAGTCTATAGTCTAGTCTATAGTCTAGTCTATAGTCTAGTCTATAGTCTAGTCTATAGTCTAGTCTATAGTCTAGTCTATAGTCTAGTCTATAGTCTAGTCTATAGTCTAGTCTATAGTCTAGTCTATAGTCTAGTCTATAGTATAGTCTCTAGTCTAGTCTATAGTCTAGTCTATAGTCTAGTCTATAGTCTAGTTTATAGTCTAGTCTATAGTCTAGTCTATAGTCTAGTCTATAGTCTAGTCTATAGTCTAGTCTATAGTCTAGTCTATAGTCTAGTCTATAGTCTAGTCTATAGTCTAGTCTATTATCTAGTCTATAGGCTGGTCTATAGTCTAGTCTATAGTCTAGGCTATAGTCTAGTCTATAGTCTAGTCTATAGTCTAGTCTATAGTCTAGTCTATAGTCTGGTCTATAGTCTAGTCTATAGTCTAGTCTATAGTCTAGTCTATAGTCTAGTCTATAGTCTAGTCTAGTCTATAGACTAGACTAAAGTCTAGTCTATAGTCTAGTCTATGGTCTAGTCTATAGTCTAGTCTATAATCTAGTCTATAGTCTAGTCTATAGTCTAGTCTACAGTCTAGTCTCTAGTCTAGACTATAGTCTAGTCTATAGTCTAGTCTATAGTCTAGTCTATAGTCTAATCTACAGTCTATTCTGTAGTGTAGTCTATAGTCTAGTCTACAGTCTAGTCTGTAGTGTAGTCTATAGTCTAGTCTATAGTGTTTAATATGGTCTAGTCTATAGTCTGTATACATTCTAAAAATTTAGAATTTAAACCAATTGCCAAAACCTTCTCTTATCTTTCTTATATTAAAATTCTAATATCATTTACCTTAAAAGGGTCATTAGCTAATCTGTTAGCAACCGCAAACAAAATAAAACATAAAAATTCTTTTTATAACACAAGTTTTTTAATAATTTTTTTTTTATATAAACATTTATTTATCAAACCGCCTGGACCAAAATAACAATTCTTGTGTGCAATCATAAAAATACCAGATGAATAATATTTTGTTTTCCATCTGGCAAAAAGTATTTATTATAAAAAACTCAGAAAACAACAAATAAATGTTATTACGTTTTCTGTTTCTAAAAGAAATGGAGATACAATTTTCTTAAACCAATACGTAATAAAATAAAATTATTGCGTATACGCCTTTGTGTGTTTTTTTTACGATTTTTAATGCACATCTTTTTAACAAGAAAGTCAGATTGTGTTGGCTTGTGTTAATGCTGCTGCTTCTTGTTTGTTTGTATTATTTGTTTGTAAACAATGCACAGATTTTCTTGTTGTTGCCTTATTATGCTTAATGGTACGTACTTGTTGTTATTGTTTACATTTTTGCATAGATAAGTAAATAAATATTATGTAGTTTAAAGCACTTGAAGTGCAGAGAGTGAATAAAGCGAGATAAATGTTTTTATAAATAATGATTGCGCTTATTGTTTACCTTTAAACATTAGAATATCTATCTCTGTCTCTCACTAATACTTAGGTATTGCTTTGTATTGCTGGACTTGAACTAGAACTGAACTAGAACTGAACTAGAACTGAACTAGAACTGAACTAGAACTGAACTAGAACTGAACTAGAACTGAACTAGAACTGAACTAGAACTGAACTAGAACTGAACTAGAACTGAACTAGAACTGAACTAGAACTGAACTAGAACTGAACTAGAACTGAACTAGAACTGAACTAGAACTGAACTAGAAATTACTAGAACATAACTAGAACATAACTAGAACATAACTAGAACATAACTAGAACTGAACTAGAACAACTAGAACTGAACTAGAACTGAACTAGAACTGAACTAGAACTGAACTAGAACTGAACTAGAACTGAACTAGAACTGAACTAGAACTGAACTAGAACTGAACTAGAACTGAACTAGAACTGAACTAGAACTGAACTAAACTGAACTAGAACTGAACTAGAACTGAACTAGAACTGAACTAGAACTGAACTAGAACTGAACTAGAACTGAACTAGAACTGAACTAGACTGAACTAGAACTGAACTAGATGAACTAGAACTGAAACTAGAACGGAACTAGAACTGAACAACTGAACTGAACTGAACTAGAACTGAACTAGAACTGAACTAGAACTGAACTAGAACTGAACTAGAACTGA